GTTAAGTGTCTTACCAAGGACACAACGACAGCAGACAGTGGGAGTGGATGGTGAAGGTTGGACTCGAACCCACGACCCTCGGGCTCAAAGGCCATTGCTCTACCAACTGAGCTTCTGTCGCCCCTTGAGTGTTTCTATCAATGCCAAATGTGACATGTACATTTCTCCTATGTGAGATTAATAAAGCATATCTTATCTTATCTCTAAATTTTTCTCGAAAACAAAAGAGTGCACTGATTAATGACATGCTCTGGCAGCCTAAAGTATCACCCTGACAAACATTTTCAATTGTAATTTATTTCCCGTCTAAATATGAAAACGACTCTTTAGATGAAACACACAGACGCACACACAGCGTCGGAGCCAAAAGCCTGTGTTCATTTTGTGTGGAGGTTTCTCATTAGCGCTTTTGGCAAACGTACAATGCCATTTCCATAGCACTCCGGGAAGTGTCCCAATTGTCAGCACCAAACAGTGTGGAATGAGACAATTGATAATTTCAGATTTATGAAGAATGTAAACCATTTTATTTTGTATCTGCTTCTGCTGTTGCGCTATAAAGTCAAATAAGGTTAAGATTAGGGCTGTCAAACGATTACATTTTTTTAGTTGATTAATCGCACAGAAATGGTGAGTTTATTCATGATTAATCGCATTTTTAACATTCTATTTCAAATCCACTACAATTGAAGTTAAATGAGATTATCAAAAATAATTACACTTTTCATTTATACCAAATGTGCTTCAATCTGTTAGATTTGCTCACAACCTTTTGCTTTTGGGCACAACCAAAATGAGCTGTTAATTAAAGGGGGAAATTTACATACCCCAGCTTTAATTCAGCGAGTTTAGTTTAGCTTCAGGAGGAGACGGGGACACTTTCACGGTGTATTTGCGTGGATAGGTTACGCACACGTTGCAAAGACACGAACACAACATGCAGACAATAGTTCTGTGGCATGTTTGGCCTTATATGACCATGTTACCGCGGCGCCATTCACTCACAGCCGCTCACAGCCGTGTTGTTGTTAGCGGCTCACAACCAGAGCGGCCGCGGAGGAGGCGGACTTCAGTTCACAGCAAACAACAGCCCCGCGGTATATTCTTTTAAAACTTGAATTCCCAAAGGGCCTACCTGCTCTGATGCCATCTCACACGCAGCATTCTGAGTGATATTATGGATAAATGGGCGGGTCATTTGGACATGCGTTGATGCGTTAATTTTTTTTTCACGCGTTAATGAAAAATGTAATTAACATGAGTTAACGCGATAATTTTGACAGCCCTAGTTAAGATATTCGGTACCAACATCAGAACAAAACATATGCCCACTCTTAATAGCTTCAATTAAATAACTATTTTTTTGCAATTGCCACAACAAACAGGGAGCTTTGGACAAATGAAACATCAACATCTGAAAAGGCCAAACAAGAGATACGGACTTGAGTAAAGTGCTATGACTTACAGTAGGCGATACTGTCCCTTCGAAGACTGGGGCACACAAACAGAAACAGAAAGAGAATACAAAGCCCACGCAAAAAGTCTCCCAGACTTTCTTGTTGCGAGGCTGAAGTGCTAAAACCTCAACAACACTCTGCAACAATCTATTCATATGAGGACGGGTCGATGTTTTTTGTTGGATGACAATAGCAATGACTGATATATGCCGTACTACACTGGCCCATACTGACAAAAAGCATCACAACAATATACAACTTCACATTGATAATGTAATGCAAAGAAATATATACAAATCATAGATACGTTTTATTCTTCCCAATCAATATTTTTTTTGAAGAAGAGGGTCCTTTATTCGTTCCACAACAAATATACACATACACATCAAGGCAAGAAGCAAACATCACTTCTGCGCTCCTTATGAGCTAAATAGTAAACTATTGTACACATCCTCCTTGTACCTTTTCTGTGTTTTTTTGTTCTTCATTCTCTTGTTGGCCATTTGTGTAGCTACAGTGTTTTCTGTATGGTGCAGAATGTTATAATTTTGTATGGCTTAAAATAAAGTATTCAAATCAAATCAACCATGTTTTTAATTTTAAGTATCATTTTATTCATTGAAAAAGATCATCTGGTCGTCTGTACTAATATACATGGTTTTTTTTTTTCTTGTAAGAACTACTTGCGACTGTGATATGAGGTGAAGATGTCATGTCATTTTTTCCCCTTAATCCATTTCTGGGTTGAGGGGGTGGCAATAAGAGCTACATCACCAACCCCTCACTTATCCTCCGACGGGTGTTGTATCCACGGGAAGATGGCTTCTCCGTCATCGAAGACATGGCCTTGGTCTTTCAGCGGGGGCCCAGGGACACATTGACAGCGGACTTCAGAGGGAGATCAGGTGACATGGGTCGAGGGGGGATTGAACCCACAACCAATCCTCTTGCAACTGAGCCACTGTAGCCTCATTGACGTGAAGATATTGAGTTGAAATTTACCTATCATTATTGGCTGATTACTAATGATCTCATAGCTATATTTATACACCGACATTCCGCCCTATCCTTTTATATGTATTCTGAATTTGAACATATCAATTCAAGCTACAACACAAATCCACAATCTTGTACCACAACAGCTCACATTTGGTTTTGATGGCGAAGACATGACAACAGCTTTTAGGCCAGTGTCAGTGTGACCTGTGCCACTTCTAACACTGAGCCTCTGCATCAGTACATCTCCTTCAAAATGAAATCCTAAAATACTCCTTTTCCAGCATTTTGGAATGAGTTGTTGACATCAAAATACCATATTTTCAATCGGTACATGTACAATTATCTATGTTGTAATTCTATGGACGTATATAGGGTTTACACTAATCAAAGGAGGGCCATGTAAATTTACTTTTACACATTGACGCTCTTGAGAAATGAATTTATTTCCACATTAACGCCATGCAATCATGTATCTTTCTATACTTACTAATCACTTCACCTGTTGTTATTATCACTACATTATTACATATCCATCTATCTGATACGTATGTCTGTATGTCAGATAAATCACCAGTCGCTTTACCTGCTGCTATTATTACTATTGTTTATTCTGGTCATATTCTTTGCTGCTAAAGTAAAATATACACATCTGTAAATACCTCCTGATGTCCACAGTGTATACTCCACAAGTGTACTGTACTATTGATGACATTGAATTTTCCCCCACGGTGGGACGAATCAAGGATTATCTTATCTTATTGTTTATCCTCAACAGTCGTTTTCCAAATCTGGCTCAAAATACATTCAGGAAATTCACTGAATGTATCGCTAAGCAGTTGCTAAACTAACATCTGTAGACCTCATTATTGTAGCTACCAAACTGTGCAAGGACACTATTGATTGCTACTACTACTATTACAGGAAGTCTAATGCGCTATTATTGCAAGAGCTCAGGTGAAATTAAACCCTGAATCTTGTTGACTTGAGATTCCTCGCCGTTCTGAAACGACCCTGTACGCAATGATGGATGGCGTGACACATCAGATCCAGCAGTGATAGTGAAAAAATCAACACTTAATGAACATTCTCCACCCTTCCTATTACCGAACGAGCGGAAAAAAATCAATCACCACTGCCCTGCGTTTTAATTATCTCGTGCCCGTGCAAACACTTCACACGCTACACTGTTTCTTTTTTTTTTTCTTTTTTTTTTTCTTTTTTTTTTCCGGTGGACTAAATATGGCTTATTCTTCCTCCAGGCCACTTTACTGGTTAAACATGTAATCCTAGTATACTTGTGGGCTAATCCTTGCCAGCAATCAGATGCACTTGTGATGAGCCCAGGCACTGCTCTCCAACAGCACTCAGCATCACGGACACACAACTGGCAACAAATTACACTGTTCAATCTGTAGGCAGACTCTAAGGGAGGATGGACTTGACGTGAATGACTTTTTACGTGATAGATGAAGATATTTAGGACACTAAAGAAATATCCATATATTTGCAATCTTGGACACCATCAATAACTACTAGAACACCCAGGGCCGTTGTTTTTGACTGCTCCCATTCAAATCTTTCCCCTTTATTCCCCTGCTTTACTTAAAGTATGTAATGTATACAATTTTTACCATTACTCACTTTTACTAAGTGCTAAATACTAGTTAAAACGGGTTAAAATACCTTGAAATACAGGAAAAAATAGTTTGTTGAAAGGCTAATCCTAAAGACAAAATGCTATTTGCATGTATAAACAGCACTCACTCTTTCCTGGTGGAAAATTAAGCTGAACCAGAACCTGTCCAGGACCAGAACCAGTCCAGTTTTTAAGACATGGCTTTAACGGCTATATAAAGACAGCAACTGAACATGGCTACATTTGAAGGTAAGATAATTCCATTTTAAAGTTACAATAAACTACATACAGACAAAGTCACAAAATTATGATAAGCTTTCCATAGCTTCCTAGAGTGTCCTCTCTCCCAATGTCTAAAGAAATGTTCGCAATTTCAGTGTATCGCTATCTATGATGTAGGGAAGAAGAACATTGAAATACTTCCTTTACATTATTAGTTAGTTACTTGAGATGTTTATGTTTACTCCACATTTCAGGATAAAATCAGGCAACAGCGTGAAGAAACTTCTAATAAAACTATACAAATTCATACTAATTATTATACTATATTATCAGCAATTCAAAACAAAATATCCATCCTTATTATTTTTGAGTAGCAAAACTACCACTGAGAATCCTAAGCCTAACAACTGATTAGGCACCAACTTGCATTCACATTGCCCAAATCAGACATTGACCTTTACGTTTAAAAATTACATCAGGTGCTATCGCTCTTTATAAATGATACTTCTTAAAATAAAATGGTGATTTTGTCAATAACAGATGATTATAATGTAAATGTTCAAAGCCAATTACAACAAAATAAGCTACTAGCAATACACAAACACTCTGTAATGGCTATAAAACATCCAATCAATCCAACAGCCAGATTTCTGCAGATCTCAATGGCTCCATTCTCTGGAGCCACTTCATGGGTCAATATGCGAACACTTGTGAGCTAATCCACGGCAGCGTTCAGAAAAAGCCCTCGTGACCGTGGGCTCCCACCCCCACCACTCACCCATCACGGCCAGAGCGCTGCCTCGGCCTAGCTCCCTCTTCATGGACTCGAGCACTTCCAGGCCGCCCCCGTCCAGATTGCACCTGTTGATAGTGCCGTTGGCCGAGCTGATCCAGTACAGTTTGTTGGCAGCAAAGTCAATGGACAGACCTGAGAGAAGCCGGGCAAGGGGGGGGTTAAGACATGCAGAGGAAGGTTGATTGAGTATGAGAGGTGAAAAATAACACTTAGATTTTCCCCATCTTATAGTTCAGCATGGTATTTTAAAGCTGGGGTACATCATTACTTTGAATAAAAAATACATGTTTTTGGTTATAACAAAAATGGGACCACAAGTTGTACGTTTTTTATGAATAAATAAACATGTCCAATTTTTCATATACTGTACTAAAGAGCCCTGTGAGTCACGACCCAACGCTTTGAGCTGATTGGCTGAGGAAGAGGGCGGTTCTCTCTATTCCTTGTTTACGTCTAAATACATGAATCTAACATAAAGAAGTTTGAAAAAAAGTACAATACATGCATGTGCAAACGTATTATAGAACTGCTTTGAGAGAGGACGTGGATTGTATTACAGATATAAACCAGTAAGTTTCTATCTGCTGACAATGACAACGTATCAAGTCCCAGTGAATGAATACTGTAAACAAGGTCCTTAAAAACACTACATGAGACTGATGCATTGTTTTAATTTAAATGCATTTCTTTGTATTGATGTCTTTCCCTCGAATTTCTTGAATGTTTAAAACTGAAAGGGTTTTTTGAGCGTGCATATCAAGTAAGAAAATGTGTTTCAAAAGCATCGGGATGTGTATGTATTTGCTCTGTTTGTGCAGTTCCAGTTTTTGCTGCACTGACGGCATGTACTGCTCCAGCCGTTTGATTTTGAATGGAAACTCATCACTGGTCACTTCAAACTGCCTCAGTGATGAAATGCATTAGAAAGCACCAAAACACTGTCATTTCCCAGCGTGTATCTGTGGACAATGTTTTTTTTTTTTTTTTCTTTCATGTATTTGACAGTACATGTATTTAAGGGCGAGGTCTTTAGGGAAGTCCAAATGCAATAACATGAATAAGTTTATATCCCCATGACAAAAATTGAAATCAGATGTGGATTATCTTAATTTTTACACAATCAATTTTCAACTAACATTTCTAAACTTACCTAAAATGACTGCATGATGAATCAAAAATCAAATTGCAAGTTGAGCAAGTGTTATTTTAAGAAACCGTTTTGTTGTAGATCTGGTAGATTAAACATTAGTTTTTCTATTCATATCTTAAACTAAAATGCATTTTTTTCAACAGTAGCCATTCTAGACCAGTAGACCAGAATCGCAAAACAAAAACGCAATCACAATGCAAACCCTGTAGCCATTTCTTTTTTCTTTTTTTCAGAAATGTGATGTAAAACTGACACAAAGTAGAGCCTGGAAACTCAGAGATAGAGGAATATTGACCGCAATAACAGGAATAAAAACAACAATTAAAAATATATACATTTTGAGTGAAGCAAGGTCACCCCAAGCATTAATCAGCATTTTGTCTAAATTCATATGTAACTCAAATGTATGCGTTTCTTAACTAGTTCACAGTAATGATGGCTTCCAAAGCACAAACCTCTGTATTTTTTATGGACGGCTGATGATCTCTTCCCATGTGTTGGATTTATGCCTGGCAGATTCACAGTCCGACCGAGTCATTAATTTACTCTTGTCCCCAGGTCTAACCCATAATCATAAATGAAGCCTTTGAATTATGGCCATGCTACGCTACGCTATCTGAATTGCTGACAGGAGGTCTGGGAAGAAAGGGAAAAGGCAATATAATGATGACAGTGGGGCTGTTTGTGGGAGAGTGACCTTGGGCATGTGTGAAAATGACAGAAAAGACAAAATGTAGATTGGTTTCACTAAATCAGACCGCAATGGCTCAATTAGGAGGGATTATTATGATGAGGATGTCAGTGTCAATCGCAGTCAGACGAAATCTTTGTCATTTGAACACGCAGTGAATGGAAAGTACTGTATGCTGCAACTTTTGAGTTTAGAACAAAGAGAATTCTTTTGAAAGAACATTATTGCAATTTAGCTTTTGAACATGAAAAATAAATAAATTAGTTGCTATGTTTCTTAGATAGCTGTAAATGCTGTAAATATTTCAATACCGGTCTTTCAAAACTGTATATATGTGCAGTGCTGTGTTATACACTGTACATATAGGGCAGGATGATAAGTAGATAAAGTGGACATTCCGAAGTTGCTGTATTGCACATGCTCATGATTATAGTATTTACTTCTTCACAGATGAATGACGTTTACAGGCTCAGCAGTTCTCATTGTTTAGATAAGTGAGTAAGTAAAGACTGGCTACAGACTACAGGAGTTAATGTCTTGGTAGATTTGAAGTTGTGACACAGACTACAGACCTCAAGATAATCTTGCTGATTCAGAGACCACACGCTTCACTCGCAATTTCTGTCAAGGACCTGGCAAAGACTCTTCAAACCTTCCCTGTACCTTTCCTTTTATTTTAAATACATGATATATTCAGTATTTAGGGTTAATTTGAAGATTTGTAGCCTTTGCTGTTGATCCCGAACTGTGGAATAGTGACCTCTGTTCAGTAGAGCAGCTCCTTCTTTGGGGTTTTTTTAATCTAGCCTAAAGACACATCTTTTCACCTTGGCTTTTAACACCAACTGAGTTTTTTTTTTTGTTGTACATGTATCTGTGAAGCACTTTGGGAGGCTAGTGTCCTTGTAAGTGTGCTATAAAAACAAAGCTATCATCGACATTGACATTGAGGATATGTAAAAAGGCTTCTCATATTTGTGAAAGTTATGAAAGATATTAGTTTGTGCAGATATTAGTTTGCAGTTGTGAACTTTAACAATGGTATGGAGCGATGAAAAACACCTTAATATCCTATTGAGGAATTTGCCCTTTGAGCTTTTCCCTTTGTCCTGTGCACAGAAACAGCTAAGCCGCGGCCGCTGATGATACCGGCGTGCATGAAAGCAACACATGCATATATTCGACCCCATTGTCCTTGAGCATTGTGCCGCCAGATAATCCAGCGGTGACAAGAGGCAGTGATGATTGAGGGCCGGTGCGAGGCTGAGGAGTTGTCGAGTTGTTCAAATGTGGCAATCAAGTGTTGTTCGGTGGACTGCAGCCTGGAGCAGATGGACGTGGGAGACTAGCGTGCACACTGCCCACACTACGGCCATGAAGATCAAACTGATATTTCTCAAAAACACTTTTCTCAACCGGAGTAGCGTGTATGTGAGCGTGGATCAAAGGGTTTTCTGTTTTGTTGGACAAGGGGTGTTGTTGAAACGAGTACATTTTCAACACAGATGTTAGAAAGTAGAGTTAAAGCAAGTATGTTCTTTCATAGTAGGTCTTCCTCAACCGATCAGCACCAAGATGGGGGCAAAAACCGACATTAAACAAGTCAGAAGAGGCTTTACTTGGGAGAGAATTATCGTGATATGATTGTAAATTTCTGTATGAATGAATGAGGTTTATTTTGTGGGTGGCTGAGGTGCTGTTTTTGGCCAATCCAAATGCTAATAGGAGTCATTGCCAATTCAATTCAGATTTAAAACACAGAAAAGCAATAGTTTTTTCTTTTTTGTCTAGAGCAGGGGTCTCAAACCTGTAGCTTGGGAGCCACCAGTGGCTCGCCACCTCCTTCCAGGTAGCCAGTAACACATATGTGATGATAAATAATGATTGTACTCAATATAAGGCTTGCTCTCATATAAAACCAATTTTTTTCCAGGGCGGCTTAAAGGAGTAGATCTCTGCCTTTATCGTCCTGGGAAAGTAGCTCTCTGCCTTTATCGTCCTGGGAAACCAGCTCTCTGCCTTTATCGTCCTGGGGAAGTAGCTCTCTGCCTTTACCGTCCTGGGAAAGTAGCTCTCTGCCTTTATTGTCCTGGGAAAGTAGCTCTCTGGGAGAAAAAGGTCGGAGACACCTGCTCTCGAGTCAACACTCATTACGGTTGTATTAAGTGAGTATGGGCAGTTCAGTTTTTATACATGAATACGTCTTGTTTAAATAATTTCTCCATCTTATATTGGAAATGTCTGTATCACTCCTGGTTTCAATGTGTTTGTTATTATTGAATTTCCTGAGTTTGATATTATCACTACATCAACAGAAGATTTTCCTATGGAACAAGCTGCTCATATTCAAGTGGAGGAGCTGTTTTTTTGGCATTTCAAGTGAGAAATGACTTGTCTTAATTGTATTTGTAAGTAGTATGCTTGTTCCACTGGCAAATCTTGTTTTAAGGCAGTAAAAATTGACTCTAATCATTATTATCCCCTTGCACCCATTTTGTCAGAGGAACAATGCAGTCCTCCCATCTCACTCCCACCAAACAGCAAAATGCTTTAACATTAGCCTGTATAAAGTGGAATTATTACACACTGACAATATAGTTTGGTTTTATTGAAAATTTTAATCATACACCTGAACTACAAAGACATTTTAGTCATTCATTTGTTAAAGAACTAAAACTTTTCAACAAACTCACAAAATGCTCAAATTATTCATACATTTAGTTACTGCTTTCAAAAAAAAACATTTTCCAAGTCATTTCTTTGGTATGATTATAATCTGGGAGTAAACACTAATTATTTCCCTATATGTCAATGTTCCTAATGGAGACTGGGACTTAAAGGTGCAGTAAAGGATTAAGGTTAGCTTAGCTTTAGCATCCGAGTAGCACCGCCACCACCCCCCACCCTGCCTTCCACCAAACCAAACTCCGAGAACACATGAACGCATCTGGCATCTGATCATGTCCATTCCTTTTTGAAAACGCACAAAAACATCACTACTTTTGGTATTTAGGGACGTTTCCCCACAGTATTTTAAAAAACGTGTCTGGTTTGGATAAATCATTGGCTGCATCTTTAAAGAAATATTATCTGAAAACAGTCTTTTATCATTGTTGATTCAATAAATGTTCTCTTTTCTCTATATTATTTCTTCATTTCTTTCAGTTTTCACCAACGTTCTCCCAATTTCAGGTATAATTCTTGATCTTAACTTGATGTGCACTGTCCTTGAGTATTGCTATTCGCTTTTTAGGTAAAAGAACAAAAACTGTTGAGGAATTAAGATCATATGATGATTATTAATTAGTGTAATGGTGTTAAATACATTCTTTTTGATGAATTCACGAGTCTACTCCAAAGCACACACGATCAAGTGTATTTCCTTACGTTTTGTAACTAGGGCAATGCATCAGACGCTTTCTCGAGTCATGACAGTGCTTTTAAAATAATAATAGCTGCAATAATTTAGTATGTACAAATAGTATGCTATCTTTATTTATGGCGGCTATTATCCACATTAGCCAGTCCACATCTCCTCAAGCGCAAGATTTATACTTTTAAATCTTCTTATTTATCATTTGCTTTTGGCCCGGAACAGTTTTAGAAACAGCCTCTTGGCGAATGAAGAATCAAGTTTGTTCTGAATGGTGTGGTGCAAGAGGATTCATATTTCAGTGTTTAGACAAGGGTTTGTTATTTTGAGGCCAATGATTCCTTTTAGTTGTTTACATCCCAAAAGGTCAGCGAAGATGGGATTTGCTAAATACGCAACCAAAACAAAGCTTGTGTTTCTTCGTATAGATGAATAGTTAAACATTAGGTTGTTTGATTAATCATACATTATAATTAAATTCTGCGGTCAAAGAAATATCTGAGTCTTACATACAGTAGTCTTTTCAGAGTTGATGTTTCACTTTTGATATTCAATTCATATTACATTTGGTTTTAGTACCAGTTTAGTCCTGGTTCAAATGGACCCATAGACTGTATACAGTATAAGACAATACTAAGGCTAACCCTCTATCTCAATGAATCCCAATAGGAAAAGGCTCATTGATTGAAATTCTGCTAAAACTCATTCTTTAGCGCCTATTGACTTCCATGTGAAGTAAACTCCTCTGGCTCAGTAACCTTTTATGCTACACTCAAGTGCTGAGGTTTAGCACTCTAAAATAAAAAATATATATAGGGCGTCAGTCAAGAACAATGGTCGCCGTAGTACAGTGCCTGGGAACTATCTCCGGATGTTGGTATTCTGCTTTTCATGACCAGAGTTGAAGGATTTGACCTATTTTTCATGTTTTTAGAGGTAGGGGAAACTGTAGCACCCATAGGAAACCTACACAGACACAGGGAGAACATGCAAACCACTCAGAAAGGCCATGTTCCGACCGGGATTCGAACACAGGACCTTCTTGCTGAGAAGCGAGAGTGCTAACTACTCTAGGTGTTCATACTTGGATTTTGTCTATTCAAGTCTAGATATGAGCCATAAAAGGCTGCATCACAATTATACACCCATTTCACACAACATCTTTTAGAAGTTGTCCTGCTTATTTTGTGGTTCAGCCATTGGTTCGAGGCAAGTCTAGTCCCTGTTTAGTCCTCATTCTCTTGATGAATCCTTTGTTTTGATTAGTTTGCAGGAGCTTTGCCTTGCCACTTGCACACAGGAGAAATCCAAACAGCAGCAGGACTTAACCTTTGCGACTCTCCTCAAAAAAACCTCTCGACTTTACCACATTCAATATTTTGTTCGGAGAGTGGCTGAAGTGCTGTTTTTGGCAAATCCGATTGCATTCATCGCCAATTCAATGTAGATTTAGAAAACAAAAGATAAATAGTTTCTTTCTTTGTTTAGACACTCATTACAGATGTATTTGTGGGAATGGGCGATTCAGTTTTTATACATGAACAAATCTTGTGTGTTATGTGTGTAAATGTGTATTAAACCTGTATACTACATTATATAAATCCTGAACTAAAGTGTGATCCTTATGATTTGTCAGTGCCTATAATGTAATTTTATAGAAACTCACAAATCCCATTGTTCATTGTGTATTTAGAAGATGGTCCAATGCATTATAATAATGCAATTTTTATGATAATGCTAAACTGATAAAAGCCAGTTTTAGATAAATGTTCCATCTGGGTTTATCCCAAGCTCGAAGACCATTTTACTTCATCAATGATTCAGCGACATGAGTTTGTCCAACAGAAAGAATTGTAAAAAAACAAAAAAGGTAAAGAAATTAAAACTAAGCTGATTGACTGAGAAAGGGTGGCCCTATATTTTTAACAAGCATGTCTCAAAAAACTGATCACAAAATGCATGCAGGTGAAAACTAGAGGTAGAATCAAACTGGTTTAGATTCAGGACCTAATTAGCGTGTTTTGCGGTTGTAAAATTAAGAACATTTAAGAAATGTTATATAGATTCTTATTCTATTCTCTTCTTTTGACTTGTTTGCACCGAGCCAAAGCGATTTGCTTGATTGTGACTCACATGGCAATAAAAATAATTCTGATTCTGATTCTAAAGTCATGACCCCAGTTTTAACAAATAGAGAGAACGACATTTTCTGACTTGGTTCTGAACAAAATACTGCCAATTCTATTTTCTCAACATTGTGGTGTGTAATAGCAGCAGAAAGCGTTGTTACTGACCTACTGGCTCCCTCTGATTTTGGTGGAGGACCTTGCTGTTGCTCCCGTCCATGTTGGCCATGTTAATAGTGTTGCCATCTGTCCAATAGATTTTCCTGCGGGGAAAGGTGTGAGGTTAATGGTTAATGAACTAGCCACAAACAAGTCTGTATTTCTATTCCCGCAGCAGACTGTTTAGAAGGCCACACACAGTGAATTACTGATTTCAAACTGGGAAGAAGTCTAGCAATACTGGCGCTTTAAGTAGGATTTGTAATATTTTGGAATCACTGGATTTTTTGCGACTTCATTAAGAATACTGCAACAAGTGGTACACCAACAACTCTTTTAAATCTTATTTCAAGGCCAGTCTTTATCCATACCTATCCTACTGTATATTAAGTTTAATGATGTCAGCTCTGGTTCTATACTTTCTACTTGTTTTCAAGGGTGAGATTTTTTAGGGGATTCCTTCTAAGTAAATCCACATATTAGACCATAAAATGTATCAGGACGCAATACGCAATCTATAATAATAGATATTATTTTCAATCTTATAATACAATCATGTAATTCCATCAATTCATTTTATTCTGCTTTATCTGTTGTCAGGTTATGGCGGTCAGACTTTCCTATCTACACAGACTTCCTCCAGCTCTATTGGGAGAATCCTGAGGCATTCCCAAGCCACCTGAGAAACAATGTCCTTCCTAGGTCTTCCTCTATGTCTCCTCCTGGTGGGACATGCCCAGAACACCTCCAAATGTGTATTTCCAGTTGTCTAATTATTTGTTTCTTCAGGGACAATGTACATGAATGTCTAAAAAAAGTTCCAAGCTTCAATCCTACTGTTCAGCTGCCTGCCACAAAGATAAAACATAGCATACATATTTACAGCACATATAAGAAAGTTTGACGAAATACATTTAAAATATGAATGCTTGATAAAATATGGACATAGACATGGACAAGACAAAAGACAGCTCATCTGAAATGGCTTTGTTCCATGGCTTTGTTCCATTGGTAAATCTGTCAGAGGGTACTAAAGATAAGATAAAAACACTTGTTTAAGGCAACTCTTACCTCATATCTTATCTTTTTTTTTACACTGTGGTTAAATCATACAAATATTAGATTAAAACACACATCCACTGCACAGGTGAAACGGCCACTAATCCTAAAAAAACCCTCTATCGCTGTGATCAATCTAAATCTCGGAACATTAATTTGCTGTGGTTTGATACGTGGACAATCCGTGCATTTCACACATTTCCCCACGACAACAACAGTTCATAGAGATAAATCTGTGTGTGTCTCCGGTGTGCGTCTGCAGCATGCTAGCGTCCGCGCTGGAGGTGAAGGGCTGATGGAGCGGCGCACTCGGCTCTAATCTACTTACCCCTTGGCCGGGTGCACGACGAGGCACCTTGGCTTATCAATGCCGTGGATGATGGAGGTCTTCAGGGATCCATCAAAGCGAGCCACATTGATTTGCGACTCGTCATTTTCGGAGCTGAGCCAGTATAAGTTCCTGGAGAGCCAGTCCAGCGCCAGACCGCGGCAGTTTACTATGTCTGCGGGGGAAGAAATCAGTAAACAATTACGGCGTTGTAGTTCAAAGCAATACACAGTCTACAGTTGAAAGGGTTGGAGGTATTCTCTTTCCATCAACACTGTTACCCCGATGTACATTCGATTCACTCCCATTCTACTCGGCAGACTCCTTTACGATGACTTGTCCATCAATCGACCCAGAACAAAATGATTGGAAAAGACTGCTATTTTCAGAGTGGCTCAACTTTGGAATGGGCTGCTTAGGGAGATGACAAATCTATCTTCCTTGTATGTATTTTTTTGTAATACATTTCTCTTAAGTGGGAAGATTAGCAACCACATTGATGGAAGCTAATAGGGATCCCGAATAAACAATAATAAACTTGTATTTTATCTATTGGTGAAACTGTCATCATTCAAATCCCATAAATATTGTAGAGTATTTATTGGTAAAAGTAGAAAATGTCCATGTAAGTAGGAGGAGGCCCTATTCCAGGATAAGTACAGGTTTACAGGATAAGCCCACGCAAAGATGTACTATCTATGTTTCCGTCCAATAATAACCATACACTAAATACAGTCTACGGCACACCTTTTTATGGGGGCGATGTGTTTACTACGGGTAGCAAACGTGCCAATACAGTATGTTTTATCATCAATCAATCCAGATTTTTCTAACACAAATCCTTTAAATAAAACACACATCATTGCGTACCTGTTCCAAAACCATATTCACAAGACCACACTTTATTTTTTATTCCTGTGAAGTCCAGACCTGAGGTCCTGGGTTCGAATCCCGGTCGGAACAGGGTCTTTCTGAGTGGAGTTTGCATGTTCTCCCCGTGTCTACGTAGGCCTCCTCCGGGTGCTCCGGTTTCCCCTACCACTAAAAACATGTACAATAGGTCTGGCATGCGCCTCCTGTACTGGCGATCCGCTCCCATCTCTGCGTGGAGTGAGAGACAAATGCCCAAAACTAACAATTTTAAACCGCTTTGTGACACTGGTCTGTGAACGGCGGTATATAAATAAAGATTACTTACTTCCTTAATTATCATCATCATCATCATCATAAATCTTTTAAGTAAGTAAGTAAGTAATCTTTATTTATATACCGCCTTTCACAGACCAGAGTCACAAAGCGGTTTACAATTGTTATTTTTGGGCACTTGTCCTCTCACTCCACAGAGAGATGGGAGCGGGGTCGCCGAACAGGAGGCGCATGCCATGGACATTGGTCTCATTCTCTCATGGACCAATGGCTCTGTGTGTTCTTTATCATTGCATTTTGAATCAATGGCTTGTTGTGATTTAGGGCTATCTAATAAAAAATAAAAAATAAAAATAATGTAATTTAAATCATGTTGTGTGAATTGTTGTGCAAGCTTCATTTTTTTAACTAAATATGTTCAAAATGTTTTGTAAAAATCTGCAAAGGTCCATGTTGTCTTGGTGCTTTAACCACCCACTGTATATCCCAGAACAATAAAGTCCTTAAACCAAGAAAGGCAGAGTGGAGAGGCAACTGTGACAAATTATATTCACTCAAAAATCAATTTGGTGAATATTCCGTGGCCAGGTATAAAACAGCTCATAACAGCCCCACACTGTCTCGCACAGATGGGCCCCTACCTGCAGAAATGATGGTCTCTAGCTGCGTCCCGTTAATAAAAGCCCGTTTGATTGTTTGTGTTTTGATGTCTGCCCAGTAAATCCTCTCCTCCAACGCGTCGTAGTCCACCACCGCCACGTCGTCAATGTCAGGCACGGTTAGCGCCGTCATCACGTTCATGTACGGGTTTTCGATGTCCACTCCCCGGATCTCGGAGCGCCGCACGTACAGGAGAAACCTTTTCAGAGCTGGAGAAGAGAGAAAAGCATGTAGGGGAAAAGAATTTGACCTTTTTGTTTTGAAGCATCCGAGATCATATCATGCAAATGCACACGTCAATCACGAGCGAGAAGATGATATGTTTCCAGAACAATACCGAAAGGGCAAAAGCTATTTTTAGGATTCAAATCGTCTCGATAGCTTTGTGCTGATATAGAGTTTTTTATGCTAGATTTACATGGATTGGAATCACAAGTCATAAGTCAGTGGGGATAAAAATGGTACAACACTTAGGAGGATGGTGGACGGATTACATTTTTCATTTTTGTCAAGACCTTTGATATAAAGCATCCTTCCCACCTCAATTCGCCATTCTCTATTTTTTGCATTTATATTGTACACCTTGTGTTTCTGTGTTTTTTTTATGTACCCCCACTGGTGCTCTGTCTGCACATGAAGTTCCTCACTGATAAATAAAGTTATTTGAATTGGAATTATTTGATCTCCGTAACTATTTTTAGGTCGTTTACTGCGGCTAGATGCATGCTTTCGCTGCATACATCTAGCAGCGAAAGCGTGCATCTAGCCGCCGTACCCACCACCTCTTCCTCGCCGCAACAAGGCTTCTGCCGCACGGGACAAAAGTGCTTGCCGCAACGTACTCTACATGCAATTCCTCTCATGGGCTCACATCACCATGGACTTTGCATTGAAACTCGCCGCGGCATGGTCTGAAAACAGCTGGAAGTTTATTTGAACCCTGCTTTTCAATGACTTTTAAATCACAGAATGGGTATTAGCAAAATATGTAACTACTGCAGAGTTCGGCAAATGTTATTTGGATACTGACCAGAAGAGATGGCAGAACACAACCAGAAATAGAAAAAACTAATATGTTAAATTACTTGTACAATATTTAACCCTTGACTTGCATTTTGTGTTTTCTTTCGACCAGTTTTGTTATGAGTAGATTTAGTTTGTGCGTGCGTGCGTTCGTGGGTGTGTGTGTGTGAGTGTGTGTGTGTGCGTCTCACCGAAGCAGGACTGTTTGTTGGGCGACAACTTCATAAGGTGTGGACAGGTGCAGGACGCGCTGCGGTTGTAATTGATGAGACACAGATGTGAGCAGGGGCCACGTCCATCATTCTCACCACATGGGTTCGAGGCTGAGACGGGCACACAGGAAGCACAGAGTTTAGAAACAAATATGAAGCGTTTAGCAGGTAAAGACAAAGATACACTACGATAATGGAGTTGTGAACAAGAATATATTTGTGAATTACAATAGATTGATATTCTAAATGGAGCTGATCTGAATTTTTCTTTTGCAAACGCTAGTGATTAAAGTCATAATAGTTCTACTTTAATGTCGAAATAACACCAGAATAACTTCAAATTCAGTATAAATCAATATTAGGAGATTAATTGTGCAGTGCAATGAGAAAGAAAAATCATACAATTACAAGAATAAAGACTTTTTCTTTCCTTAATTTCAGAATGTTCCAACTTTTTAATCCTATTATAAGACTTTATTCTTGTCATTTTTCAACTTCATTCTCATATTATTTGACTTTAAGGTCAAAATATTCTAACTTTAATATTAAAATATTCGGATGACAATTGACGAACTGTCAATTGTCATCCGAATATTAAATATATAAAAAATGCAATGTTCAAAAGTTAATTTTAAACATGTTATAAGAGTCTAAGAATATTGCAAACACACTCCTCACATCCAAGAGAATCACAGAGTTTATTTTTTACAACTAAAAGGGAACAGAGAGAGTCAGAACTTAATGATGAAGCTATAGACTGATCGGGTCTTAGTATTGCACTAGTTTCTCTGACATAACATTAATGTATATTTTTACAAAATGTCTGCAGTGGGACAAAACCTATGGACAAAACAAAATTTTCTAAACCCATTTATAAAACATTGATTCTTCACCATCAAACATTGCAGTGCATCTAAAGTTGAAAGGCGAACATGGACCTATCCCAAAACTAAAGAAAACCATGTGGTCCAATTGTGTTGTTTTGTATTCTCAAATGTCTGGAGGAAAATAATATAGTAATACAAATAAATGTTTGCAAAAGCTAAGGATGTGAGGCCAACCAATGCATGCATGTGAAAGTCACAAGGGTGGGAATGGATCCGCTTTGTCTTCCTCCCACGCCTTTTCGAGTTTGAATAACATACAGTATTAATATAAGCAATGGTTTTTTGTTTTTTTACATATACTGTATATATGTATTTGCTGGGTTTTTATCTGACATACAAACATACAAATACATTAACACCATGAAAGTACTTGTTTAGCTTTTTTCTTTTCTTTATGTATTAATTCATGTATTTTTTTCTCATTGCTGTGGAAAAAAAAAGGAAAACAATAAATGAATGGAATAAAAAAAATAAGATAAGTAATTGTTCATGAATTAATATAGTACCCAAACTGACCTGGATTTCATTAAGTAGATCCATTGTATTTTTGTAGTTAAGTTAGGTACCCCAGCTTTAATATACCGAAGCATATTATCCAAACCATTGTATAAATAAATTCCAGGTTGGATTTGCCTCGTTCAGCAGCTGGTCCCATTGATCCCATCGCCCTTTTCCCCTTCTCTAATTCCTGCTTTTCATAGACCTCCTCACTGTTAGCACACTGCATCAGCTGGGTGCTATTTCCAAAGCTTAAAGACATTGTAGTATTTTCCATCTGAAGAAAGATCCGTTTATGATGTGCTCCGACTCCTATATATACCCATCTGTAAGCCACGGAAATGAACTTTGAATTGAGGCGCGTGCGGAAGGGGATCATTGGGAATTCATGTCGGAATGGAGGCGTGTGATACAGGAGATGGGATCGAGGCTTGACGGCCAGTAATTGAGACGTGGATGACAGACAGAGCATGAATAATCCAGAATAATACAACACAGGGGCACAAAAAACAACTTCTTCAAACGTGTGGTGCTTATGAGGGCTCTGTTTGGTCATGCCTGTAAAATACAATTTGCTTTCCCGCGCTGTGTTGTTGGTACAAGAGCAAAGGCGAGATCACAATGTATTGACCTGACATAAAAGGTTGAGTAGTGAATGTAAAAGACTTTATTCCATACGTATAGGTATTTGCAGTTATATACAGAATGTGCTTTGCATTGTGGATTGAGTAAGAAAAAATCCCTGAAGGGAAGATTCAAATGGCATCAAAGCAGTAGATATAAGTAAGTAAGCAAGCTTTATTTATATAGCGCCTTCCACAGACCAGAGTCACAAAGTTCTATACAATTATTGCGGGCATTTGTCCTTGGTGGACAATGAGATACAAAACAAAGATAAATACACTGTTTTGAGTCCTGGTTGTGCATTGTGTATGTATTGCAGTGGTGGGCTGCCAGGGCCTGCCAGGCCTTCTCTCCTGGTCTGTGAAATACCTGAATTACAGACTCATTTGAATTGGTATATTTATTCTACTATTTTTCTACATTAATAGCTACTTAATAAAAAAACTCGAAATGGTCAATTTGCTTCCTGTCTTTGCTTCCCCACTGGTTGCACTGCTTCCAAACATGTATATTCTTATAACAACATTCATCCAATCACAGTTCTGCAGGTCCTTTCGCATAAAAAGTGTTGATCAGACTGTTGCTTTAACCAATCAGATTTTGAGTTCATCAATCAATCAATCAATCAATCTTTATTTATAGGGCGCTTTTCCTGCACAGGGCAACACAAAGCGCCTCACAGTCCACACCACACAATGCACAAATCATCACCATTAAAATACAATTAAAAACACATATGTAATTAAAAAGCATTAAAATCACATAAGTAATTTAAAAACATAAGAATCACACAAGTAATTAAAAACAATAAAATAGTTAAAAACACAAAAAGTTACAACAATAAATAACAAGGTGTGTTAAAAAGATAAAATTCTCTAGTTGTATGCACAGGAAAAAATAAAAGTCTTTAACATGGATTTGAACATTGACAGAGAGGCAGCCAATCTCACATCCTCAGGAAGACTGTTCCAGACTTTAGCTGCATAGATCTGAAAAGCAGCCTCCCCCTGTCTAGTCCTGACTCTGGGCACTAACAGGAGTCCCGTCCCTGCGCTCCTCAGAGTCCGGGCTGGTTCATATGGGACTAGCATATCATGGATGTACTTTGGTGCAAGGCCATGGAGAGACTTGTACACCAGGAGAGCTGCTTTAAAGTCTATCCTCTGGGCCACGGGAAGCCAGTGCAGAGACCTGAGGACCGGACTAATGTGGTCGTACTTCCTGGTTCTAGTCAGGACTCGGGCTGCAGCATTTTGAATATACTGCAGCTGTTTTACTGCATGTTTGGAGATACCTGTGAGCAGGCCATTGCAGTAATCCAGCCTACTGGAAACAAAAGAATGGATAAGAATCTCCAAGTCTGCCCTGGACACAATATTTTTAATTTTGGCAATATTTTTCAGATGATAAAAAGCTGCTGATGTTACCGATCCAATGTGGCTATTGAAGTTTAAGTCAGAGTCCATTATTACTCCCAGATTTCTGACCTTATTTAAAGGCCTTAGGGAGAGAGACTGAAGGTGACAAATGACGGTCTCTCTTTGTTTCTCGGGACCAAAGACAATCATTTCGGTTTTGTCCGCATTTAGCTGGAGAAATGACACCAAAGCCTTCTTGCAGACGTCAGCGTTTTCCCACCCTTTGATTACCTATTATAACTCGTGAACCACTGAAAAGTCCTCAAAATGGCAAACCATGACAGGAAAGCTGTGTGTGGAGGTACAGGGACCAGCAACACCTCCACATCCACAGAGGACAGACTGAGTCAGGGCTGCAGGGCCAAGCTGCTGATGATGATGATGATGATGATGATGATGATGATGATGCTTCTGCTGCTGCTAATAATTCTGAATATGAGCAAAAGACAGCGCTCCAATCGTCGTAATGAAAGCTAGTGCATGTTGAAATCGACACAGATGTCACCATTCAAATCCACAAAAAGGTCCTCAATTTGCATGTATGACGCCGCACACAGGAAGTAACAATTAGCGTGTGTATTAAAGGAGATGACTAAGAGTTTAAAATGTACCTAATAATTCAGTCCATTGATGCTTGAGGATGTGTTTCTTTGTGAAGTCTGCATGACTCGTTTTGCATGAATCAATGTTGAAGCTCTTGTTGAATGTGTTTGAAAGTGGTGGAACTGGTTGTATATGCGGATATGGTTATCTTAAACCAGGGGTGCTCAATACGTCGATCGCGATCTACCAGTCGATCGCAAAGGTAGTATTGGTAGATCGCATTAAATAAATACAAAATTACACATTCTAAACGAATATATACAAAAAACTCCGGGCAAAGTGGAGATTTTTGAAAACTCTGTTAATGCATTTGTGTGTAGACAGAGATAACCGGAGTTTTGCGTTCTCGCACGCCACAGTACCCCCCTAAATTCCTCTGATCACTGAAGCATGTATCATACTAGCTTAAAAACTGTTCGCTGTGAGATGCTCGCAGCAGCGAACATCCTCGCTCCACATCAGAGAGCAGCAAAGTGATCGCGGGGACTCACGCTCGAAAACAACCAAACCAGGACTAAACCAGGACTAAACCAGGACTGAGGACGGGGTCAGTGCTTGTAAACATACGTCTTACTCTTTACTCTGAGTGTCTTCTATGACTGTAAAAGGGCCGTTACCGGCGTCTGCATCAAAGCTCCGCCCACTTCCGTGTTTTTCCCCAACGCAGGACAGGACGTAAGAGACGCACATGTTTGGAATGTTACGAATGTGATTGATAACGCAGATGTGTGGATGCAAATTATTTTATAAACTGAGGAGGGGAAATATTTGGATTTAAAAAAACCAGGCATGGCACATGGACATGGCACCACAGTCAAATGACATCTGTGTTTTACTCAGTAATGTTTTACTGACACTTAGTTGACTGCACATGCGCAAACAACCGCGCTCAGTGCAGGAAAGCTAAACCACGACAAACTTGCCAGCGAGTAACCACCAATTTTCCGGACTATGCCTCCCTGGCCGATTCAATTCAGTGCAAG